CATCCATCCATCCATCCATCCATTACATATCCACCCACCCTTCCTGTTGTTCCTTCAGCAAGGTTTTTTAGAAGTTTAAAAACTATATTGGCTGTTTTAATTTTGCTGTGTAGACTTTTTTTGATATTATCATTCTTTATAAACTGTGTATGAATACATTGATCATTTGTTCATTTATAATGTTTTAAATGTTTGTTTGTTTGTTTATTACATTTATATGGGTGCCTCTGTCCTATACACATTGATCCTAGATAGCTCACAAGAACAACCAATAAAAACAGAATGATATATTTTATCATTGTACTACTTGTAATACAGTCACTGGAAATTTCCATGGCCCTGCTTGGCTGATAGCATATAAATCCACTAAATAAACAGCTGAGGAACACTACTGCAGGAGTATTTGGTGTTTTTGCTATATGATGTCAGGACTGAATGTAACTAGATGATGGACAGTCTGTGTCATCTCTCTTCATTTATTCTTCTTTAATTTCAACACGTGCCACAAAACTGTTTCTTGGATCCTATGGTGTTTTATGCTGTGCATTTTTAGTAGTTATTGGGTGAGGGAGTTGAGGGAAACGCTTATATAGCATTCAAAGCTAGGAGGATGACTAATATCTTAGATGAAAGAAAGAAATGTAGACAAAAAGATCCACACAGGCTTGAGCCTTCAGATGAAATAAAAAGGATGAAATTGAACCTGGAGAAATGTAAAGTTCTATATATGGAATGAAAAATATAAGGCAGAACCACCAGCGTAAAGCAGCTACTAAAAAAGCAAATGCTCTCTTGGGGTACAGAAGTATAGAATCAAGATAACTGGCAGTGAGGTGAGGGAATTGTCTCCCTGTACTCTGGTTTGGTCAGATCCCATTTTCACACAGGACAAGGCAGATGCAGAACCAATGGGTTAACATGGAGAAACCTCTGGCAGTATGAGCTGTCAGCCAGTGGAACAGACTGCCACATAAAGTTGTGAGTTCTTTTTTTCTAGAGCTCTTCAAACGATCTGGATGCTCATCTATCAGCAATACTATTGTGGATATTACATTGAGCAAGGGGCTGACTAGATGATCTCTACTTTAAACTTTATGATTCCACAAGATTGTTTTCTTAAGTTTTGAAATTATATGTATGGACTATAATATAATGTTCATAAATTTCTTTCCTCTTTCAGGCAAGCGTCCAAAGAAAGGAATGGCAACTGCCAAACAACGGCTCGGGAAAATTCTAAAACTGAACCGAAATGGCCATGTACGATACTTAGTTTGATGTAGTAGCTGCTTCTGCTCTTCTTCACACATAGACCAGTATTGAGGATAACAGTGCCTGGAGCTTCTGTTTTATTCCTCTGCTTGAAGCAGAATGCATGTATCTTATTTGAACATTGCCTGATGAACAAAAACCCAATGCTGCATTTTCACTGTGCCACATCTGCTGAGCAATAACTTTTGGGAAATGAAAATATTTGAAAAGACTATGAATTGGAAAATGGTCTGTTTTTCAGGGCTCATTTTGATGCTTTGGTAGTGTCGGAGCTAATTCATGAACAGAAGAGTGATGAAAGTGGTTATCAATAATTTATTTGTCAGATATTGTCAAGGATTGAATTCATTTTAAGCTATTTATTTAGAAACCTTTTGGGGGAATTATTTTAATTTTAAAATGTCAAAATGTGAAGGTTTTATTTGTCTTTAATGTCTGTCTGCAAGTGGAGAGAGCTGCATTGTTTGTTTTGAATTCAAGCATTTGATATAAAGATAATAGATTTAAAACATGGACATGATATATTATATGATTTATTAAGTTAAGGACATGAAATCACATCTTAGATTCTGTTGTTTCTATACATCATCATGGATGACTTTTTTACTAACTCCTAAAGTACGAAGTCTCTGGTAGTTTAGTTCATTGAAATGTCTTCCCTCATTACTTCCATTTCCTCTTCCTGTTTCACCATTTATTCTGGATTATAAATTAGCATAACATAAGCAACATTTGCTTTATCCCTTCCCCTTATTTTATTTCCATGGTGTGGAAATTAATCCATAGCCGTCACCCACGTAGGACTACAGGTAATGATTTAAGTATAGACATTTAAATACATTTTGTGAAGAAAGACTGTTATAGTGGCAGAGTATTGTTTGATTGTCTACAAATGCCAGCTGATTAAGGTCTTAAGTCATTTTTGTAAATATGTAAATATGTTTGATAGCTTTTGAAGTTTAGTATGACATATTTTATGTCATGCTTGGCAAAGATCTGATAGTAAATGCCAATTCTAAAATGCATGTATATAACCTAGATGAAAAATCATATTTTTGTAAGATAAAGTTGAATATTTAAGCTCTTTTGGGGAAAAATGGGAAAGCATCCGACTACCACTTTACTAAGAGGGCTATTCAGTACCAGAGGAGGAATATTAGGGATACTGCTTTAATAGTTTGGTTTTCTTATTGATCAAGAGTTAAAGCATGGCCAAAGCTACTCAGCCGCTTGACTTTCTTAAATAAACTTTCCAGCCTTCCAGGCCTATCTAAAATAACATCTCTAGATGTCCCGAAGTAGGACCTTTCTGTGCTCTATAGTTTTATATTCAGTATTTTCTGCATTTGTGTGCAATGTATCTGAATTAAACTAATTATACTTTTTGTTGCATATCAAACTAGTCACTGCAGGTACGAGGACTTAGCTAATTTCAAGGTTGTAGTCCTCAGTGACATTGCCATTGCCCCATTTAAATGAATAGATTGTTTCTATAACTGTGAGGGAGTGATAGCCAAAAATTTAAGCTAATATTCCTAGAATGAAATCTGAAGAAGTATTTTTTTTTTCTGTTAAGGAAAAGTAGGCTGATTCTCTATCCCACATGCAGCAGGTCCCTTTCAAATCATTTTGGAGGGCTGAGGGTGATTTCTCAAACAGATGGGGAAGTTAAGAGGGAAGTTCAATTGCATGAGTGTACTGCATTTGGGTAATAATAGATTTCACCTTCCTTTAGGAAGTAAGCTCTGTCACAATAAATAAAAAAGATTTAAGAATACACTGAATGAAACTGAAGAATAAAGGAACAAAAATCAAACAGATACAATATATCTGAGGTTTTGAAAAAAAAAGTCTGTTTTTCTTGGCCTTCTTCAGTTTTCTTAGCATACAAATGTCAAATGTAGGAAAAAAACAAGACTGGAAGAATCTCTTGACTGCTGGCATTGCCAAGAGAATTGATTACGGTGAAAACTCAACATTGGAAAAAGAACAGATTTACTAATCAGTTTTAACTCATTTTTTATCATAATAATATTTATACAAATCACATTTTTTTATCATAATAAAAAATGAAAGTTTCAAGAGTCATATCTTCTAACTGGGCTATGGTACATTAAAATATGTGCCTGTACTGTGTATTTTCCATGTGTTTTAAACTGCATTCTGTCCTTTTTTTTAGGCAGAAAAACTGTTAGAAAAAAACTGGTTTTGATTTAGTTCCAATTATCATAAGCCATATTTTTAAGCAGTTTATTTCTTCTTGTGATATTCTAGCATCATCTGTTATGCAAAAAAACATTGAGGCTACAATTAACTGAATGATAAAAACATTAAAATTATATTTTTATTGATCAGAATAACTGATAAGTGTCACAACTGGTCTGATTTCTCTGAGAATCATAATCATTAAAATGCATACCTGCAGAAGAGAGATAGATAGTGAGGGAGAGAAGGAGTAGGTTTCAGATAGACTATTTTCTATTCCATTTTTCTCATTTTCTTCCCAGATGCCCATGCCCATAAATTGTTCTCTGTTGTTATGAGCATAGAGATATCTCTTCTTAGATTACTAAAATAAAGATGCTGATAAATTTCTGGATTTCATGTTTCAAACACAATTTGAAGCAAATCTTTTGTTACCACCTCAGTAAGGCTATTTCTTAGACTTTGAATGATTTGAGGAAGGCAAAGTTAAATATTTCTATCTAAATTAATGGTTTTGAAAAAGCAAATAAATTATTATAGTAATATAATGAAATTACAGTGGGCAATCTCATTTGTACGCTAGTTGCTTTATTTATACAAATCACTGTTGCACCAGATTTTACATTTATATCAGATGTCTGAATTTCTTTATGTAGCCCCCTACTTGTTTTATGTTCTTGAGGGCAAAAAGGATATTGAAGTCAAATTTGATATAATTTTGCTCTATCCTCAGTAGAATCTGTATTCAGAGAAAGATTCTTTTATAAAAGTAGGCATTAGTATTTCAGCTATAGTTTAGAATTAGTTTAGACCTCTTCCTCCCTAAACCAATAGGGTAAAATAAAGTATTTTGGATTATGTTGAAAACAGAAGGAAAACAGAATTTTAGAGCAGCAATTTTAGCAGCATCATTCTAAGCCGCATGTCTCATTGTCCAATAGTCTTTGCTTATTGAATTCAGCTGCAGTGTAGCCTCAAATGATCTCTGTGGTAGATTTACCTATGCAATCATTGTAATTGATGTACGCATTTCAAATAATTTTGATAGGATTGAATAATACAGGCACTGTTCTTCAGTGTAACAACATATGTCATAATCAAATTAAAGATATATTATTTCACTGAAGTTTTTTTATATAATTCAGATTACTTTGATTCACCAGAGTTTTCCCTTATTAAATTTAGGAATATTAGGTTAGAAAGCAACTCCAGTCTTTCTTCCAGATTTTGCCAACTTTATAGCTGGTGTAACTGGAAGGAAATTGAGAGGGATTACTTTCTACACAATTCCTTGCATAGTGCCTCTTCACAATCACAATTTCTGTGCTGCAATAAACAAACAGAAACACCTCTCCCCTTTCACTTTTTTATACTAACATGCATTCATACTTCCAGACCATAAAAATTTGTTCATTGACTTAAGCAGGTGAACCCAGAGCAATTGTATTTTGTGAAAGAAATATAAATTGAATTTAAAGGCCTTACACTTTGTAGTTTAAACTGGATTAAAAGCTGCAATTCCATTTTTCCCCAAAAGAGCAACGTTCTGTATACAATAAAATGACTGTATTGTGCAGAACAGGATGGTAATGAAATTAGCACTGATTACAAAATGCAGCTGCTGATAAAGCTACATTTTTTGCCTGGAAGAAAACTTTGAATATAAATTTTAAGCCATAATAGTTTCTTGCTGTAAGAAGGGAATGAATTCACTTTAAGAGATTATATTAATAGGAATTATCACTTCTGCTGGGAAAAGTTTAACTTTGCCAGTGCTTTGGCATTTTTAAGATATTCATTACATTTGCAAAAAGGGGATAAGTCTTGGCTATATTTGCTAGTTTTGTAGTAGTAGTTTTGCTGATGTGTCTGTTTCCCAATACCTTTTTCTACTGTCAATCTAAATTCTCAATTTTTTCAGTGTGGTGAAATAGCTGTCTTTCTGAATAGAGAGTTGTGTGTTCCTTGCTCCTTTTTATACAAATACACTTCTATGTGGAGTTTTCGGTTGGAAAATGGGAGGCTGCAGCTTTAAGAGTGCCCCCCCACCTAATTTACTCAAGTTTCCCATTCCATTTTTGCCTGCAGGCAGGGAAAGTGTATGTACAGTATTTATTTTATTTCAATTTTACTTTAAAATTTGTTTTTATAGGTAGCTTACTGATTTACTGTTTGGAAGGACAAGTGGCTTGTTTAAATTTGTATTTGATCATAGGTTTCACTTTCTGTACTTTATAATATGGAAATTAAAATATGTATTACTTATGTTTTTGATCTTCGCATTCAAGTGTTTAATTTCTTTTTTGTTTGCTTACTCGGATAAAGATAAAAGTATTGCTTAATTCCATCTTTTCTATTTCTACAACTTTTGTTTTGGCAATTTTATCATTTCTCATTTTGAGCAAGGATTTAAATCAGACTATATCCCCAAAATAATAGAAGTAGTTATACTGTAATTAATTCAAAAATGGTGGATAAGCAGCTTCACCTTTATTAGCTTAATTTATTAGCTCGTAAACTATTAATAACTTGCTTAAACATATAAAGGAGGTCTTGAAAGTAACAACATCTGAAGACTGATTTGCCACAAATGTGGCAAACAATTGAACAATTGTATCAATAAAATTTTTAAAACTGTTTTTTTTTCCTTTTCTCAGGTTGTTAAAATTCAGCTAGTGTTCATAGACTTTACTGTGGTAGATGGCTATTTGGGCCTGCAGACATTTACTAGCAAAAAGGTGAAAGTTTAGATTTTAGTGAATCTCCATACATAACTAGTAATATGACAACATGCTCTAGTGCAGGGCTCCCCAGCCCCCAGTCTGTGGATTCACACTGGGCTGCGGCATGCCAGAAACCAGGCCATGCAAACAAACAGCGGCTCCACAGGATGCAGGCAGCAGACAAAACCACGCCCCCTCTGGTCCACAGAAAAGCTTCTCTCCACAGAACCGGGCCCAGGAGCCCAAAAGGTTGGGGCCATTGGTGTAGTATTCAGAAATCACTGCTCAAAAGTTGTGCAGTTTCTCTTTCTATTAGGCCATGATAGCATACTCCCAACTACATTTCTTAAGATACAGATTTTGCATACAAGCATCTTGTTTGCTTTGTGTTTTTTTTTATTTACACATGACTTGCTAGTGCTTCAGCTCTCTTTAAGGCTTAGAAGCAATTATTTACAGTAGAATGCACAGTTACAATTTATTATTGTCAAGGAATTAAAAAATCTGATGACTTCCATGACAGAAAATACTTACAAGTATACTTTTAAAGAAATGAATAGAACAAACTTTAGAACAAATCATTGCAACACTTTCCCTAAATTTTTAGGGCCATATATGTAGAATATTTACTTGGGATATGTCTCTGTAGCAGCAATATGCAGATCATTTCAAGATTTAAATTGCCAGATTTCAGAAACATCAGTCTCATCAGAAGTATTCCAACACTTTTAGGGTGAGCAACCCTACATTTCCTATGACAATAGATTCCTTATTGTGGTCATAAGAAGGAAGTGCTGTATTGGACAAGAATATTATGGTTACCGGATATACCGAACTAAGACTTGCTTAAGATTCTGCAGATATTGCTGTTGGGTTTTTCATAAAGAGCTTTGATTTATTTTCATTCCTTATAAACTGCTTGTTCAAGCTTCTGGGCAGAAGAAGATCAGTCTTACACCTTTAAAAGACAAAATGAAATATGGGATAGCTCATGAAAAAGGATTCGCACATATTGTATCACTTGCTGCTTGCTTTAAAATGGCTTGGAGGTATGTTCCTTACAGTAGAGGAATTTGTGGGTTCCTTGCAGTCTAAATATTGTTTTCCTTATTCCAACACACAACTCCTTCAATACATCTGGACTTCCTGAAGAGTCACCTTCATCAGGATCTGTAGTTTCACAGTCATGGAGTCTAAATAGTTCAAAGAGGAAACAATAAAAGATTTCCTTTCAGAGAGAACTATCATTTGATGTTCTTCCATTAAAAAAGAATAATTAGATTGCTTCAAATATTGGCTTGGTGGCATCTTCTCATGCTAGCACATTTTATTAAAAGACATACATTTTTATGAGCTACAGCTTTCTTGAACCGTATATTTCCTTGTGAATATATTCCTGTGTTGTTTGATATTATCTTTTTGCAATTAAATTTTAATGCAATTAGTTGCTTATGGCTTATTTGAATTTCAGCAACAAAATATTCATGTATAGGCATGTTGGTGAAGAGGTTCTGAAAAAAGTTCACAGGAATTCCTTGTGTTTTTTGCTGAATGTATTCTTTATTTTCTCTAGAAGAACTATGTAGATCGAATATTAATAACTTATTTCTACTGCATATATATTCAGTAGTTCTAGACTATATAAAGATATCATCTTTATCTTCATTCCTTGACTGCAAGCATCAGCATAATAATGAATATGATGTCAGTGTTAGTGTTGAATTTTCAGTAAAAAAAATTATCTGTTATAATCGATGCTGTACTCACTGGCAAATTGCAACTTAAACACAAAGCATCTGTCAGATCAACAAATGACAAAAATGTAGCAACCATTTTAGTGTTGCACTGGCATACTTCTTTACCCTGGATGAACTTTGTTGGTCTATATCAGGGGTGGGGAATGATGGCTCTTTTATGACTTGTGGACTTCAACTTCCAGAATTCCTGAGCCAGTCATGCTAGCTCAGGAATTCTGGGAGTTGAAGTCCACAAGACTTAAAGGGGCCACCGTTCCCCACCCGTGGTCTATATCAGGGGTCGCCAACTTTTTTGACCTCGGGGACCACCAAACTCACAATTTTAAATCCCGAGGACCACTAATGTGATTTTTTTAAAAAAAGATAATATATTTAATATAAAATTTTTATTTTTTTATATTAAATATAAATTTAATATTAAAATTATATATATATTTGGTTCGGGTTTTTTATCCTTGTTATAACAAAATCGTAAATGCTTAATTATAACTGTGGGGCAGAGCGAAGGGAAAGGAGGGGGCTCTCTCATCCTTGGCGGTGGAAAGAGGGAGGATTTAAGAAGCCACATGGTGCCTGGAGGCTGGGAAGATCTAGACGGGGAGGAACCGGCTCCCCCTCAAACAGAAGAAAAGCAGAGCCATCTCATATCTCCCCCAAGTCAGAGGAAACCTCTCCATCCTTTGCCAGGTGTGGCTGCCTGGAGTTAGTTGGGGGAGGGAAGGAGGGCTGGGCTGGAATCGTCAATGGGCTCCTAATAACCAGGCAACACCCCCCACCTTCAGCCTCCACATAAGAAGAGGACTCCCCGAGGCTAAGCTCCCAGTTTCTCCTGTCACTTCCAAGCAGAGAAGGATCCCTCCCTGTGTGGAGACTGAAGGGGGGTGCAGTGTTGAGTCCAGAAAAGCTGGAGCTCTCGCCTGCACAAACAGACTGGTTATTAGGAGCCTGTCTTCCTCAGCACTTTTTTAGTCTGGGCATTTGGTCTCTCCCTCCCCCCCATGCCAAAGGAAAGCCAGCCGGGCTTCTCCTTCCCTCCTTCCCTTCCCCCCACACAATCTTAGTTCGGGACAGAGGACTGGGCACTGGAAATGTGTGTTGGCTATTCCAACATGCCTTTCTCTGGGTCTTGCTCGCAATTCTTCACGTTCCTCCAGGCCTGGCTTCCTGAGGGGGGAGAGCAGCCCTGACATCTCTGCTGCCCTCCCCCAGGAAAAGAAAGCAAGCAGAAACAGCTCTCGCTGGGACGAAGGAGCAGAGATCGGAAGGCATAGGCAACAGAAAGTGGCTCTTTTCAAAGGCAGCAGCTTCCGTCTTCTCTTGCCTGTGCCTTACTCAACCTCAGCTGTTTTGCCCCGGTGAGAGCTGTTTCTGCTCACTTTTCTTGTGCTTTCCACGGGCAGCGATGGCTTGGGCCATGGAGGGGAGGGGGCGGCAGGAAAGCAGAGCGCCAAGAGGGATGAGGAAACTGATGCCGCCTCCCGTCACCCCATGGACCTCTGAACTGGATGGTGAGCACAGACTTGCCCACTCTGTCCCCTCCCACCACCACCAGCCAGTACTTTTCATGCCCCAGGCCGTCCCTACAGCCCGCAACCATTGAGGAAGAGCCCAGGCCAGGAGAGGTAAACTGGAAGTTGTGGGAGTGCCACGCAAATGCAAGTAGCACGGCGCTCCTGCACCTTCCAGCCATCTCCATTACCACTTCAGCCCGCCTGTGCCGCCAGCTCCCTCTTGCTGCAACAGCGCCATTACCTCGTCCTGCCCGACGAGGACTGCACTGCTTTTTGCAGGTTTGTGCTCGGCCGAAGGGTGGGAGCCAGCGGGTGGGCAGGCTTTGGGGGGGTGCTTTGGGGGGCATTTCTCTGCAGCCCACCAACATTTTCTCACAGCCCACCAGTGGGCCACGGCCTACCGGTTGGCGACCACTGGTCTATATGATCTTTAGATAATGAAGACTAGTGAAACTTTGCTTAGCATCACAAGTTATCTGGTCTGTCTTGGGGTGGGTGGGTTATTGCTACATCTATTGCTCATTTTGTGACTGGTGGAGTGACTGGGTCAAATAAGATAAATACTCAGTAAAAAGTCTGAGAAGGGGCAAAATTTCCCCAAAGATTTTAACATCTGCTAAGCAGCATAGCTTTAGCATATATATATTTCTGCTGGCTTTTGCTGTTTCACATGTTTGTTTATAATTCATTTTTCTAAACTGCCCATCTCTCTTAAAGAAGATGCTGTGCTATGTTACAATGAATATAATTGATAAATAAAACAATGTATAAAAATTAACATTACAATTTAATGTTTAACAATTTAGGATTACAAATTTTAAAATTAAATATTAATGACAAACATCAAATGTAAAAATCCTAAGATTTCACATTGGTTATTACAAGGGGTGGTGGTGCTCTCATGGGATTAGTCAGCCACACAGTTAAATGGTCCTCTGTGTTCCTCCCCCACAAGGATTCAGAGCCAAGATTTGATCCCTTTGTGGAAGGCCAAGAGATTGGGGGTTTTCCTCACTTCTGAGGGAAGGATGGGGGGCACAATGTGGGGGCAGTGGCAGAGAAGGCTCTTTTCCTAGATCCCACCAGTCAAAATTGACTGATGGAGTCTATAGATATTTTCACTCCCTGATTGATTGAGACTGGCTGATGAGATAGTGTGAAGCCTGTTCTGTAGGCAACCTGACCCTATGCCCAGGGGTGGGTTTCTACCAGTTCTGTCCACCTCTGTAGAACCAGTAGCTCTGAAGAGCAGCAGACATAGAACCGATTCTATGTCTGCTGATGTTTTTTCCACCCGCCTGCCTGGGCTCTTCCTGATCTTTATTTCCTGCTTTTTCAACTTCAGCTGCCATGCGAGGCACAGCTATAGTTAAAAAAGCAGGAAAAAAGTACTTTTCCAAAGGCTGCTTCTCGGCATGCAGTGCTGCTCAGCTGTCCAGGTACCAGGCTAATGATGATTTACAGGTGCACGCACAGCATGCAAAGAAGCACATCTCAAATCACCGAACCTCCTAAATCACCGAACCGGTAGTTAACCCTGTTGGATCCCACCCCTACCTATGCCCCTTTCCTTATACTGCCCTATACTGGTGAAGTAGAATGCAAAGAAGCACATGGACAGAATGGCATGGAGTATGGGGGTAAAAACTACACAATGAAGTAGCCAGAGTAGTGAGCATATGAACTGGTACTTCCCCAATATAGTAGTATTCCTGGCTATACTTACTGAACTTTGACGTACAGCAGCCTGGTATTCTAGTTTTCTGAACCACCAGATAGTAGACAGGTAAGCCAGATAAAGTTAAAGCGCATCCAATACTGGTGTTCACAGGATCTGAATATAGTGATGTCCCCACAATGAAGAAACAGGCTACTGTGAATACCAGTGGGAAGAACAGAGGCACCTAAAGGAACGAGTCAGAAGGTAATCAACAGGCCATCTTTAAACATGCAAGCAATTATAATGTTTACAACATGAAGAATCAAAATATATTTATATAATCCTGCCAATCAAACGACCAATAAATTATTCATTTTCTATTTTGTTGTTCTATTCTATTTTCTATTTTTAGATTTTCTATTTTGTGTGGTTTTATGAATCCTTGGTTTACTTTGATTTCCAGAGAACATGGGGATTCAAATGAGAACATAAATTGATGTTTCTGTTGACAATGCACAATTACAATGTATGTAGTTATGATTGTTATATTTAATCCTGATTAAATATTAAACAATGTATATTCTACGATTAAAAATCAATTGTAAACTAGAATGATGGAACTTTATGTTTTAAATATTTCATTAGCAAACTACAGTCAAGATTTAGGGATCTCTACTTCTGTGCTTCAATCCAGAAAGAAAGGAAAGGATAAATAATTATGAATGAATGAGGATGGTCATGAATATAGATAAAGATACAACACTGAATTACTAGAAAGAGTGTTGGATAAGAAACAATCTGTTTGCATTATGTCTTAGCTGAATCAGTGTTTTATTTTTCTTCCTATGTCTTCCTATGTTCCTATGTTAATGTCTTTCTTGCAGAAAATTAGAAGCACAACTTTGGTTTCTAATTCGATATTGATCCTACCTTAAAAGGTCTTAGTATTGTTGGATGTCGAAAGCAATGTATCATGAACCCCAGTGTGGTAAGTCCTATGAAGAACCAGCGGGAGAAGCTATAGAAGTTCAAAAGTCCATAAAGGTCACCAATGGACACCATCAAGTAGACCAAAGGTAACTGGGTCAAGAAAGAAAGAAAAAAAACCCAGGACATATCAACATTTATTTTTGTTCCTTTTACCCAACAAAATTGAACAGTACAAAACAAATTTCTTTCAATACAGATATTTCAACCTGATTATAGGTCAGGTCAGAGAAACCGATTTAGGTTGATTACTTGCTAAGCACAAATTCTAAATTGAATTATCTGAGTGATGGGGATATCAATTATGAGAACCTGTACCAAATGTTAGCTGAAGTGCTTTTTTGAGAGGGAGTTATTTAGAAAGATGAAACATCTGTAATTATACATAGAATTTTGCTTTAAAAAAAGGATATATGTAGACTTCATTCTCAAATTCTTAGTTTCTTCATTTAAGAACAGGGAGGTTGAAGATCATACCATTAATATCAAAGCGGGGACAGGAGTGTGTCTTTCTAGGTGTATCATTGAAAAGAGAGCTGGCCACTGTCCTTCTCGTGCAGCTGCAAACAGCATCCTACAAAATAATGAGGATAGCTTTTAAATAGAGCCAGTGTTTGTAGTATTGGTTACAGTGAAGTCACAAAAATTAATTTCATTGTTGTTTGTAAGCCATAGTTAAATGCTAACTATCACTTGTTCATCACACTATGCTTTAAAAAACCAATAGTATCCTCATAAGTCTAGCGGTTGAATTATATTTCGCTTCTTGACAGTTAGAACAATGCAAGATATGTTAAAATGCTCACTGCAATGCTAGTGATTTTTTTAAAAAAGTGTTTTGTTTTAAATTACATGCTGTTGGAATCCAACCATCTCTGGTTTGTGGCACATGTAAACTTATGATATGTATCTGTTTGTTGGATTTTTAAAAACTTGCAGTATAAGAACTATAGTGTGTTCAATGCTATATTAAGTTTTTCTTTAAAGTGTATCAGAATGTTACATAAATTCATATTTTTCTTTTTATAGCCATCTCATCTCTTTAAAGAATGTGGATACATATATATGTGTTTTATTTATATTAAGGATTTGTCATGATGGCTTGTTTTTCCTATACTTTATTAGAGTTTAAGTTTTCCTATAAAATTTGAAAAAAAGGAACCAAAATGTATATTTCTAATACTAATACCTCTTATATATATCAGTGACTCTTTCCCTTCTTATTTTTCAATTAATTTTATACCTTTATATTATTTTGATAGATCAGGAACCAAAGTCAGAATCCAATTTCCTCAAAATGCTTTCAAGATTTTACCTGGATGCAGCAAATATTCCTCCATTCAAAGCACCAAAACATGAGAGAGCTACAAGGATTAGAATTGCAGGGGAAATGTTCTTGAAAACTTTATCAGTGAAACTCTAGGAAAAAATTGAAGAATCTTTATTTTTTATATATTTGTATAACATTTAGAAAAAGAAACTATTACTCTTTTATTTTACATATTTTTTTACTTTCTATAGGTATCTTTCAAGAGAGCTAGCACAGTAATAAAAGGCAAGACAAATATATTGCTCATTTTATTAACTTTTTAAAAAATTGTTAATGGATATCTCCAAATGTATTATTTAATTTATTTTATTGATATTTCTTTTTTAAAAATATCATTTATTCATTGCTTCAGTTCTAGTAACTGTAAGGCCTAGTTTACAATTGTTCACATAATGATCATGAAATTAATTCAGTATAATGGAAAACAATAACAAATAATAAACCACATATCCATCGGTTAAAAATTATTTATTGTCCAAGATCAAATACAATCAGAAGACTACAACACATAAAATAAATATAAAAGGAAAATTTAAAATTGCAATAAAATCCTAAAGCAGCTAACAATCATTAGCATGAGGGAAGAACCAGACATTTTTAAATAGCTACAGATATTGACAAGAATTTTGCAAGGCCATCTGAAGAGTGGTCACCCAGGAGAAGGGCGCTGGTTACAATGGGCAAGCATTGTTGGAAGTATTAATGTGTTCATCTTTGGGTGTTCAATGGATATTTTCATGTATATGTGAGACAATTTTTTATATCTGAATCTGAACGGAAACAAGTTCAACTTTCATATGGGATATTTATATATCTACCCAGGGGTGGGCTTCAAAAATTTCAGCAATGGGTTCTCTGCCCAGTTGCTGGGTGGGCATGGCCATGGTGGGCGTGGCCTAATCGGCCTCCTGCAGAGGACGAAAACAGCCTCCCTGAGCTCCAGAGGCTCTCTGGAAGCCAGAAATGGGGCCATTTCCGGCCTCTCTGAACTTCCAGGAGATCCGTTTTTCACCCTCCCTGAGCCTCTTCATGCTCCCTGCACTTACCTGCATCCAAAACAGGCTGTGTGGGGACTCCTGGGAGGGGCTTTGCTGGCTGTGGAACTCTGGGAGTTGAAGTCCACTAGTCTTACAGTTGCCAAGGTTGGAGACCTGTGCTCTGAACTGCACAGAATCTTAGCTAGGGGCTCTCCCGAATTGCTGCAAACCCCTAGCAGCCCAGCCCTATATCTACCAGTTGTTTCCTAAAAGGAACTATCTTGAAATTACATAAGATGTGACAGAAATATGTAGGGGTAGACTGGGGAGGAGGAATATTTGTGCTATGAAAGGGATGGGAGAGTTTGGCTCTGGCGTTTTGGATATCTAGATTCCAAATCCTCTGTTTTTATCAAGTCCCAAAGCATGTAGTGTTGACAAGACATGTCAAATTGTCATTAATTTGCCTTCTTATATTGGAAGAGAAACTATCAAGCAAGATGAAATGAACTAAGAAAATTACCCAGAAGACTTGCTTCAACCAAAATTTAGGAAAACAAAGGCTTAATCGAGCTCCAAGGGAAATGAAGCTTAATTCTAATTGTGCCAGGGGATGAGAAATGGAATAAACTTGTAAGCTTTTCAAGAATTTTGATTGGACTACTTTAAATTAGGGGCTTCCTTATAAATACACAACTGAGTACCATATAACATCAAACCCAGAGCTTTAAATAGTTTAATAGCTGCTGGGACATGATGGTTACCAAATTGACCTGTGTGTTTTAATTGCCAAGGACACTTTGGAGACTTTTAATAGAAACTTTCTTGTTTGAATAGATCAGTAGAAGAACATTGAAAATAGAGATCTGGATATTTAAAGGATTTTACCTGCTTGAGTTTGCTATCAATTGTTCATTTAATGGAGCCTTAAGGCGTTTCTTAGAGAATACTTGTACTTTTGTTTTGGAGCAATTAATTTCTAGATGTTTTCCAGAGTAGTAAAGTGGTAGAGATTTAAGGCATTTTCAAAGGCTTACAGTTAAAATATCAAAGATATTCGTGTCCATCATTTTGACAACTAAAGAGACAGATGTATTATTACTTTACTTTGAAGAGTATGGGGCAAATCAATTTTCAGATGAATGACTACTTAATAGACAAAAGGAGACATAAAGAATGTGACCTTGCAACTTCTAGCTTTTATAAGAACATTCCCATTAGAATCCCTGAAACTCAGAATGCAAATTTCTTCACTCAGACTCAGAAAGTAGCCTGAAATCTATTCATTACTACTTATGAATCTGTATTACTTATGCATATATGTGCTTATATCATTCCCCCGCTTTCTGAAATGTATAAATATGACTGCATTTCTTTATCTGCAGAATGTGTCTTCCTTCCGTGATTTGGAGAAAAGCCCTCCAAGATGTCACCATCTAATAAACACAGCAGTGAGCTTTGATTTTTGGGGGTGGGGGGGTGGGGGTCCTGAGTTTTGATTCCACAAGAAGCAATGTATTCACTAATATTATGGAAACCATTTGATTTTAATTATTTTCAGGTGCACAAAACATTTTTTTTACTGAATCCTTTGTGTGCTTGTTTCATGGTCCATGAAACCAGTGTTTACTTTAGGCATTCAATTAGTTATTTTTTTGGATTAAACCTGATTTTTTTCCCCAATGAGTTTTCTCACTCCTGATTTTATTAACAGCACTTAAAGAATTGCAAATAATTAGTAAAGTACACTCACCACAGCTACTGCATCTGAACTGAGAATTTCTTGAGGTGTCAAGACAGCATAGTAAGATACATTAGTAAGGACATAACAGACTGTAACAACAGTTAAGGAAACAATTACTGCCCGAGGGATGTTCCTGAAAAAAAAAAACTTAATTTTAATACAGTCCAGCAATAATTGTATGTTATCTTTTGACTATGTCTAGCATCAGATTAACCAGCCCATATGCCATGATGGGCTTTATACATGGTAACCATTATTTAAGCTGTATATAAACAGAATTGCTCCTACAAGCCTATTGCCAACTGGTGCAAAGCACAGAGCAGAGGTGTTACATAGGTTGAGGCTGCTTGCAATTGTGCTTCTGCAATCTGGACTTGCTACTGCTACTACTTGCTACTACAAATAGTAGTCTTCAAGGATATCCCATATAAAGTGTGTTGCAACACTCCAACCACAAGATGATCAACTTATGAATTGTGACAATTTTGGTATGGGAATAATTGGTACATGACATGCTTTTGTGTAAAAGCCGTCAATGCTATAGCTCCTATCTGCTGCTTGAGCATGATCTGTGAGTAAGAGATCCCCCCTCCCCAAATTGCACACTAGTCCTGAAAAGGGAAGTGCAATTCCCATTTAGTATTAAAAATGTAACCACTCCAGATGCAGGAGGTATACAAATATCCACAGCCACTCAGACTTGAGCTTATGGGTTCCTCTGGTTCCAAACCTATAAGGCCTCCATGCATTGGGGTAAAACACTTGATAGAATTTCCTGGCTGGCACTGGGATATGTTGATGATATTGGATATTGAAAAAGACGACACTCTGCAAGAGCCACAAAGATCATTAGGGGCAGGGAGGCTAAAACATGAAGAATGGTTGCAGAAATTGGGTACACCTAGTTTAATGAAAAGAAGGACTGAGGATGACATGATAGCAGTGTTCCAATTCTCAAAGCACCTGAAGGCAGGACAAGAATCAATGGATGGAAACTAATCAAGGAGAGAACCAACCTAGAACTAAGGAGAAATTTCCTGACAGAATAAGTGGAACGACTTGCCACTAGAAGTTGTGGGTGCTCCAACACTGGAGGTTTTTAAGAGATTTTTTAAAGAGATTTTTTTAAGAGATTAAGAATTATTTGTTTGAAATGAAATAGAGTTTCCTGATCGAACAGGTGGTTGGACTAGAGGACCTCCAAGGTCCCTTCCAACTCTGTTATTCTGGATTCCAACAGATGACCTTACCCAGTGCGTGGCCTCATGTAGATGGTAAATAGGAAGGGTGAGTACGTTGAACTATGAGGCATGCTACATAAACAGGAGATTTGGAATCAACAAAAATGTTCAACCCTTTTGGCAGCATAATTTCATGCCTACTGTGTAGCAGCCTAAACTGTAGGCTACATTAAACTATTAGTCTTAGCTGTATAGAAGCAGAAGGCAACCAAACCAGTTAACATAACCTGTTATTTTCCCCTTTTCTTCCTAAGTTCTGTTATTTTCCTGACTGCCTCCACTGAAACAGCTCTTGGCAATTATGGCAATTTTGGTGATGCCAATAGATTTTTCTTAATAATCTGGTCAACTCACCCTATTAAGCAGACTGGAAAGGCTGTTAAGTACAAGAAGAAAAATGGCATCAAATTAAACAATGTCCAAGTTCAGTTACAGGAGGCCACACTTTTCTGTGAATCTGACATAAAGACAGTCCAGGATCCCTAATAATCACTTCGTCATAGTGAGGTTATAAATAAAACCTGAGAATAGGAGTTTGCTCAGATGAACTGCTGAAGTGACAAAAAATAAACGAGTCTTCAAAATCAGAACTCTGGAAAGAAGAGTTTGATGGAAGAAGTTAATGGATGGCACTCTAAGATAGCTCTAGATGGCACTAGCTCTTGGTTGTAGTACTGAACGAAGTTGGCAGGTAAACTTGATAGACGGATTGCAGATTTGAGCAGACAATCAAGACATAAGAGCTGTTAGGCATGGGCTTTCTTCAATTAAGCCCCAATAACTAGTTCCTTTGGGTTCATCCTAGTCCTTTGGTAAAAAGGACAAGAAAACCAGATGGATGTGTTAGTGTTGTACTGGGCCTGGCAGTTCTTTGTCATCCAGCTCCTTGTTCTGAGTTCAGATTTTGTCCTGTCTGCAACCCTCTGTTTCCTGACCTTAGAGTACCAAAGTTTTTCAAAAAAAATATTGGAAGTGGACTTGTTACGAGTAGCAAGGTCCCCCCCCCCCCCCCCCCCCCCCCCCCCCCCCCC